AGGGCCTCTGTGACCATCTATTGCATTGCAGCCTGTCCTGGGTTCAGGCTATGACTCTAATTAATGATAATGGCAGTAAAATTATCAAGAATGTAAATAGTCTTAGGTATAAAGGATTTGGATGCTTGTAGTTGGCTTTGGATTATGAGTGGCTCCTCCATTACGTGCTTGTATTTTATATTCAGGCGTTAGCAAGGATTGGCATCTCCTTTTAAGAATGAAACCACAACTTAAATACCCTTACACTGATCTTCTTTTCTAAAACTCTGCTAAGTTTTAATTCATTATTTTAAATTTAAACGGAACATGCTGGCTTTTCTTAGTTCTCTAAGAAGTCCTATGGCAAATTCCAGCTTCCACACAGCTGAAAAACAAACGTGTAAGTGGCAGGTACCAGAATTTAGGAATGCATATCTGCACCACAGCTTATGATTGGGAAAACCCTGTCAGGTTATTCTAAGGAAATCTCCAGACACCTTTAACATAAAATGTGCAGTTCTAAATAGCAAGATGTAGATTTGAAAGGGGTCTGAAGGCAGTACTAGTCAGACTGTGTTGTCATAGCAACAGATATTGAAATTCAAAACATGAAGTACAAAATGGGGGTGAGAGAAGAAGGACAGAGAAAAGTAGTATGCAATGATGAAAATCTGTCAAAAAAATGTGAAAATTAGACTTCCATTAAACAATGATAGAATAACTAAAATATCCTTATTCTGCATATTATTATAATTATCATTTTTTTACCTTTTCCATACAACAATTTGAAAATGCTTTATAAATATTAACAATCTACATCATCAAACATCCCTCATGGAAATCATTGATCTTGTCATGTATAGATAGAAATACCAAGACAAAGAGACCTTTGCGTTAGTAGAATGTGTATGCAGAAGTGAAAAGACAGTTCAGCTGTTTGCTTAGCTCTGTGCTCACATGCTCTTTGCTGCATTGTTTAACATGACAGAGCTTTATGATGTTATTATATAGATACGTAACAGAAGGACCTGAGTAATTTTAATAATTACTTGTTTAATTTAACAATTACTTAATTGTTACTACTAGTGGTAGTAACAGCATTCTTTTTCTGACAATAAAACTCCAGTGCTATGGTACGCAGTTTGTGTAATTACTTAAACTTTTAACTGTATTTCTTTACAGTAATACTGATAGTAAATAGGGAAAGAATGAGTGAAATGGTAAACTGCATTTTTCTTTTCCTGAAGATGTGCAACAGTTTAGAAAGAGATATTCATGTCTAATTCATCAGGAAACTACAGCAAATCTAACTCAACAGGAAGGCATTAATATGCCCTTGTTGGTGATAAAGGAACCATATTGTTGGTCAAAACCCTGGGATTACTGTTTTTTTCTCTATTTATTATTTTTAGCCCTTACAGACATCTCTTTCCAATCTTCTATTTTGAGTTTAACACTATAATAACTTCTCTATATTACTGACTTGTGTATAATAGAATTCTTTAGTATATCCATGAGATTTTTTTATGCTGGATTTTGCAATGACTTGCATTTTACTTCAGCATTTTGAAGGAGTGATAATGAGAAACTTTCTTTCTCTCTCTTTCCTACATTCATATTTCCCTTCTAGGCATGTAATTCAATTTAAAGTTGTTATCATTCTTGAAGTAAGATAATACTACAGTATCTATCCTCTGAGAACAACTTTAAGGTTTTTCAACATGTATATCAGCAGTATAAAGCAGACAACTTGCATGTCACATCCAGGAATTTGAGGCAATAAGCCATAAACAAAGAAATTAGATAAAGGTAGAAAAGAAGCATTCAAAATTATGAAAATGTGCTGACTGAATTATAGGCTGGCAGTACACCAGAAGAGTTGGAGCAAACAGAAGCACAAAAAGAAAAAGATTCTTGAAGCCTCGATTTTAAACAAATAGGTCAAGAGTTTTCCAATTTAAGGAGCAAATTCTCTGGTATTTCTAGGTTTGCAATGGTAATTATGATAGAAAGCTGAAAATTCTCTGGTAGTTGGGAAGTCAGATGACATTAAAGAAGATGAGTTCATAGAAGATGAGTCATGTCAGAGAAGATAGACCCAGGGTAGTAAACAGTAGTAGTAGTAAACAGTAAACAGTAAAAAAAGTTTTCAGGTATGTTTACTAGACAGCTGCTATAGTTTCAGCCAATTGAGCCATGAAGTCCTTTGCTTGGTAGGTGTTGAGGTGTTGTTGCACCACGGAATTCAGCATGTGCCAAGGTGCTTGCCGAGTGTGTCAGGAAGCAATTTTGTGTCAAGATCTGAAGCAATTCTTCAATGTCACCTTTGTCCAAACCACAGGTTTAAAATACCCACGTTGGTCAGCTGTGGTTTAGCATAAAGCTATAGATTTAATGTGTATGATATAAAATGTAGGAGCAAAGGGGAGAGGATGAAAGAAAGTAGGTCCAGGGATTGACAGAATGTGCTGAAATAGGACTACAATAATTTTCCTGATTTTTTTTTTCCCTGTCTCTTTCAGACACTTTTAGGACCTAGCCTCTCTGCTTATGGAGTTAGAATTGGGACCTACATCAGGCCAGGTAGGAAAGTGGCAGAGGAAATCACATATGGAACTGAGTGGAGGAACGTGTGCAGAACCAGAAGACTAGGATAAGGAAGAGAGAGGATCACCATCTGCAGCCTCATAGAAATAAAGCTCTTAATTTGTCTCTTAATTGCAAGTGCTGATACAATTTTAAATCTTTTCACATTCCATTATTACACTTTCTAAATAAAATTAACAATTTGATTTTCAAAATAGTTTGCATATGTCTACACTCATACTGCAGTGACTATACTATAGGCTTACCTTCTTTTCATCTTTATTCAACAAATATATGACAGCTTTGGGAGAAAAACACCTTACTACAAAAAAGAACGGAAAATTCTTTCTTTCTTAGAAGGCAAGCTGGCTCTTCAGTAATGTTTAAAAAATTCAAAGCGAAAAACTAATGATGAGAGATTTTTCTACTCTCATAACATTGTCTACTACTTTTAATCAGATTCAGGGGTCTCAAGGCTGGCTAAATTACCAAACTGTAGACATAAGCGTGAAAGATTGTCCTTAGGCATGTACGACTGAGAAATTATTTGCCCAGTAAAACAGTTTATCTTTGAATATAGCTGAAACAAAACTGAATCAGGCTGCTTGCACCTGCATTTGTCATAAAGCTCTGATATTAATGGTTTTTATACTGAATTCACTATTTGCATCTAATAGAAGCTTTTTATCCCAAATATTATTGAAAAGTAATTAAGTGCAAATTACATCTTAAACATAACATAAAAACTTGCTTCTAACTGTACATATGTCTCAACTTGCCTCAAGGTGCATATGGATGAACTACAAAAGAATAATTCTTTCTCATTTGCTAAACAGCTAAATAAAGGAAACTGTTTTTGTGTTATAATGCTATGGAAGAAAAAGGCATAAATGCCTTAAACAGAGGTAGGAAACTGCACACAGCAAAGTTTCTCTAGTGTTTTTTAAACACTCTGTTCTAGAAAGGCTTGGTTTGGAATATGACTGCTCTACCCACGTCTTGTTTTTAGACTCCTTCTGAAATACCAGCGGCTGGCAACTTACTGAAAAGGGTGTTTGTCTGCAACTGTAATCTTACGTTCTTCCATATGTATGAAAAACATTGTGGTATCAAACTTTGTTATTGCTACATAATTAAATTAATTTGTTCATTTAAACACGAACTATTTCAAAAGATGATATGCAACACTTTAATACCCATGAAGTTTCCCTAAACCTGTCAAGTTAGTGTAACAATAGTAACTTTTTAAAAAAACTTTCTTTTTGTTTTCTACTTCCCTTCTTAATTTCATTTCTGTTTCTATTTGATTCTATTCTGTTCCTGACACAGAGTTGGGAGGTTACCGAACATCAGACTCCTTGTCTATCTGCCCATAAGGTGCAATGTCCAGGATTTGACACCATTAGTCATAGACTCATAGAACGGTTTGGTTTGGAAAGGATCTTAAGATCGTCTAGTACCAAACCCTCTACCATGGGCAGGGACACCTTACACTAAACCAGATCACCCGAGGCTCTGTCCAACCTGGCCTTGAACACTGCCAGGAATGGAGCAATTGCCACTTCCTTGGGCAACCTGTTCCAGTGGCTCACTACCCTAACAGGAAAGAACTTCTTCCTTATATCTAACCTGAGCTTCCCGTTTAAGTTTTAACTCATTACCCTTTGTCCTATCACTACAGTCCCTAATGAGGAGTCCCTCTCCAGCATCGTTACAGGCCCCCTTCAGATACTGGAAGGCTGCTATGAGGTCTCCACACAGCCTTCTCTTCACACAGTCCCGACTTTCTCAGCCTATCTTCATACAAGAGGTGCTCCAGTCCCCTGATCATTCTCATGGCCCTTCTCTGGACTTGCTACAACAGTTCCATGTCCATCTTATGTTGAGGACACCAGAACTGTACACAATATTCCAAGTGAGGTCTCACAAGAGCAGGGTAGAGGGGCAGGATCATCTCCTTCGACTTGCTGGTCAGGTTCATTTTGCTGCAGCCCAGTACATGGTTGGTTTCTCAGCTGAGAACCCACACTGAAGCTGGCGAACACCCACCCCCGAGTCCTTCTGTCCGCTCGGCAGAGCAGTGGCGATGGAAGCACACAGACTACACAGGTGCTCCAGGCCCGGTGTACATTGCACCACAGTGCTGTGATTCTACTCCCACAGGTCCACTGACCCTCGGATAAAACCGCCGCGCCCTTTCCAGGGCCCTGAGGCGCTCCCAGAAACACCGAGCACAGCCGTTGCTAGGAAACCAGCGCGCGGGAGGCGGGGTGGAAGGGCAGGCCAGGTTCCCGAGGCGTACCACAGCTCTCCTCCAATCGCGTCGTGCCTCTGCGCTTGGAGGCGGGAGCCGCGGAGCATCTTGCCCTGCTGAGTGGTCTCCGGCTGCAGTGCGTCACCAGAAGGCGGGGAGCTCCCGGATTGGCTGTCAGGGAGAGGGACAGCCTGGTGCTGATTGGCCTGCGGCTGTCACGCGGCGCTGGTAGGGCAGTGACGCCCGCGGCGGCGGAGGGGTCCGGCTTGTCAGGTAGGAAGGTGCTGTGCGCTGCGCGGTGACGCCGCCAATGCTCTCCCGCCCTGGGAGCGGCGGTCGGGCAGAGGGTAGTCCGCTCCTGCCCCTTGTCGTGCCCTGCCCGCCCGCCCGTCAGGCGGCCGGTGCAGGGGGCAGGTAGGCCCTGTGCGGGGTTTTACCTGCGGGCGGGGCGGGCAGCGGCGCCGCTCACGCTTCCCTCTGAGGGGGTGGCTGCGGTGGCATCTGATGTCCTCGCTCGACGGTCGTGCAGATAAGCGGCGGCGGCGCCGCCTGTTACCCGGGGGCGGCTCCGCCCCAGCGGGGCCCGCAGCGCGGCGAGTGCCCATGCCCGCCCCCGGGGCTGCCGCCGGCCTGGGGCCGCGGGGCCCTGCGTGGGGTTGGGCCGAAGGGAGGATGGGGCTGGCCCGGGCCAGTTCCTGCAGCATCTCTCCCCAACTGTGGGGACACGGCATGTCTTCTGTCCTGTGCTACGGGCTGAGACTGCCACGAATAATGGAAGGACGCGCCAGCCACCGCTTGGAGCTGTGATGTGATGTGTGCCCACCTCCCAGATAAACGCAGCGCCACAGGCTTTGGATGTCCCGCAGTGTACAGCTTGAGGAGTTTCTGAACTTAGGCCTTAGATGTAAGGCCGACATAGATAGGACCTTCTCAGTGCTGCTGCCCAGGGTTTTTTCACTTGCGTTTTTATGCTGTGTGTGTACCCGGGTTCGGTCTCTGCTATGGTCCTAAGTGCTCAAATAGCTAGTGTTTGAGGTTGAAATACGCAGAAGGGTGTGAAATACGCCTTTTCACCTTGGAGTATGTTTCTGGTTTGTTTGAATTCACGTGAGCATACACCCTTGGAAGAGACACATCATATGTGAACATGCAGGGTTTTATTGCACTTTTAAACAGGCCGACTCTTCTGTTTGCGAGAAAGCAGCAGTTTCCACACGTGGATGTGACTTTTCCTGCTTTGCAACAAGCCTTCACAAAGAGACTTTGATGCTCTACTGTATTTCAGTGCAGCTTCTTATAACAAGTTCCTGTGTGAGAAAAATCTGGGTGACATCTGAAGCCTTTTGACCAAAAGAGTTTACCAGGTATTATTTTAAGATAATTGTGTCTCCTAAGTAATATGTAATAAGGAGATGACTGATACAGTTTATTACCTGAATGTGTTAGTCCTTGGGAAACTCAAGGAGGTGGGATGTTCATACTTCTAATGTGTGCAGAGTGAAAGCAGATTGCAAATGATGGACATACAGGTTGAGGTACTGTAGTGGTTATCATTGGTGAGACAAATGTATTTTCTCTCCTTTTATAAATTACCTTTTAATGTGTTTACGCAAATTGTCAGTACATTGTTGCAGGTTTAAAACATACATGTGTGGAATGTTAACCCCAGAAGAGTTGAGCTTTGGGGATACTTCTTCGAAGGAAAAGAGCAAGGTTACTTATTAACAGAGCAAAAGCTATGTTATCACCAAGGTTCTTTCCAGGTTCCTTGCAGCTATAACTTTCAGTCACAGCTGAGTCTTTCAAAGGAGGGCACTTCTGCAGTTGGTATTTGTATTGCCAGTGTGTAAAGTGGTTATGTAGAAATCATTCTGAGAAAATGAGACCGGCTGAAGAAGGGGCAGGAGGTTTTTAAGGGTACAGTGACACAAAGGAAGATGAGAAAGGCCTTTGCTATGTGTGCCTCACTGGAATGAGAGATTTAACACAGGGAAGCAGGATCCAGCTGCGTGGGGCTGCAATGCAGTTAGGGAACATAGGATGTATTTCCATGCTTGAAAGTGTTCGTAGTCCGGTGGAGAGGAGCGGATGATGTGAGGTAGTTCTATGCTAGTTCGCCGCGGCTCGGGGTGTTTTGGGCCAGGTGACTGGCGTCAGTTCTTTGTCCATGCGGAGAGCCCCCCTTCCTGCCCGGCTTTCCCCGCCGCGGCTAGGGGTACTGTGGTCGGTGGGTGAAGGGAGATACGCATGTCAGCCCGAAGGCGGAGGAAGCTGGCTGCCAGCCCGGAGCTGCTCCATACAAGGAGATGGGCTTAGCTGCATGAGGTCATCACTGCACAGGGAGGAGGTTTCTGCCCTGTGTGGGAAGTGGGTCTAGGAAAAGGAAAGGGGATTCTTTTGCCGGGGCGCGGGGGTGAGGGGAGGAGCAGCAGCAAGAGAAGAGAGAGGAAAGCTTGAGTTCACTCTAGCAGGATATAAGCTGAGTATATATGCTCCTGTCGTAAGATAAGTCTGTCCGCTCGGTACTGTCTGAATTCTAGTGTTGGTGTATTTGCGTTATAAGAATATATTTTGAAAACTTAATGGAGGGGTTTATTACACAGTATAGATAGTCTTGGAGTTGTTGAGTATGCGTTTCTTTTAGGGAATTAAAGGGTTTGAAGTACTGTGTGTGTAAATATGCAGCACATTTCTACTGCATAATATTTGCATTAGGTAACTGTCACATTTTAAAAAACTATGTTTTAGAAATTTTTGTTTGGTAGTGAATCAGTGGCATTTGTAGCTGTGTATTCCAGGTTCGGGAGACGGTAGGGAAGGTAGTTACCTTTGTAAGAACTACATGTGTGGTCTTGTACAGTGCACAGAAAGTTTTGGTAATAGCTCCTAAAAAACAGCAAGGGTGCTTCTGAAATGGCTTCCTCCCTCTCCCGCTTTTTAGGCCAGATTCATGGGATTTTGATCCCTCTCGTAGCGTGAAATCATATTTGAAAGCATGATTGTAGTATTTTCTAATTCCCTGTGCAAGTTTGAATTCGGAGTTGAGGTTGGTTTTGAGTGTAATGCGTCTGAAGTAATAGGGAGTTTTTCAGTCCTATGTGTTTCCCTGTGGATGATAAAAATAAATTCCTAATAAATTAAGACTTAATGCTGTTGTTAGACTGAGTGAATTGCACTTCATAACAAAATTCTACTTTGAATCTCAGATTATCACTTGGTCTTTAGACACCAGCTTCCTTCACATTTCTTTCTGTACTAGAGGGAAAATGCCAAATGGTTTAACAACATACCATTTCAAACTTTCTTTCCCATGTTTGAGCTTGTTACTAACCTGCACATGATACACTGAGCTTGTTACTAAATGCTCGGCAAGAGTGTCATGGTGAGTAGAGACAACACTCCATACTCAAAACTGTAGTGTGGTTCAGTGAGTTTTCTGGCCAGTTGTACAGGTCTGGCAGAATTCCTGATCTTTGAAATGTATTAGCTTGTCAGAACACAGCTCTGGCTGCTTAATCTTGTCTGTGTTGTGAACTTGCACCTTGAGCAGCGAGGGTATTTCATTAGGTTTTCTGATATGGTTGCTCTTTCTGTTGAGGGGAAAGTTACTACTCTAGCCAGGTCTTGTCCTTATGAATTTGTTAGGGTGAACGTGGAGTGACGGCAGTAGTTGTGTACTGTGAGGAGTTTCTGTGGGGTGGCTCTCTATCAAGTTGATAACATGAAGCTTTTGACTGTTAAGGGAGAATTAAAAACATTGCAAGTGTAGTCTTAATTTGTCCTTTAGGTATGCTTTACAATATTGCTTGCACAACACTATAGTCCATTTGGAACCCTGTTTTATTAAGTGGTAGTAAGGAAAATACTTACATGATAACTATCAAATAGTTATTTATTATTTATAATTTTCCTGTATGTTATCATTTTCCTGTATGGTAATCAAATCTTGGTCTGAAGACAGTAGTTTGCTATCTCCCTTGTAGTTATCATCATTTGCTCTTAGAATCTGAAAACCTTTTTTTCATATTATGATTTTGGAAGTGATTAACATGAGGAGCTGAGACATTAAGAAATTAAGCTTAATCATCAAAATAAAGTACCATAATTAAGACCTAATGAAAAATCAATTACCTTTTAAGTAGGGTCAACCTGTGAAAAGTTTGTGAATTGTTGCATATGATGTAAGTGCTCCTTGCCAGAAGCAGAAATAGAATCCAGAACAGTGTTAAAGTACATTAATCATGAGCCCTTTGTTCCCTTGAAATTGCCTGTTTAGAAATTGGGAGACATGCAATTACAGCAATGAGCGTGATAAGAGTTGGGAAGATGAGCCCCTCTGGCAGAATGCTGAATCATACGCAAAGCAGTCCATCCTCTGTAATAAATGAGGCAGGTGTTAATGGAGAAAAGCAGTATGGAAATAATTGCATGACCACATAATGCATATTCCAAAGAGGATGGCATTTAGGTTTTCATCCTCAATTTGTGAATCTCTTAATTTCAGTACTTAATTTGTCAGTTTTGCTCCATTTGTGCAGTTCTCTTTATGCCTAACTTTTTGGTTTAGAAAAAATTAGAAAATCTTATTCCATACATCTATAGCATATTGTAACCAACATTGTTGTCACATTTATAAGTGTTTGCTGTTTGAACTGAGAATGGCAGTAATAAATTGCTTTTCTCAGTACAAAACCACACTGGAGTGGGAAATGGCGTAGATGGTTGGTTGTTTAATGGTTATTTAATAAAAGCCGGAATAATTTTATTGAATATTTGGTGCAGTAATGCTCAGACAATACAAATAACATATTAATAATGGCTCAGCTAGTAGAGGTTGTTAGTGGCTGGACTAGTAAATCATAAAATTCACCTGTGCTGAACCTATAAATAAGAGTAGGGTCTTAAGATAAATCTTAGTCTTTGAATATCTAAAGCTTGACTTATTGCCTATTAAATTGTGAAAGTTTTTAAAAATCTCGTTAGTGTAGCATACTGCCACTCTGTTAAAATACAGCTTTTGTGAATTATGCTAAAGCTTTCTTTATTGTTTTGGTTTTCTTTCAGGTGGCAGCTGACTTCGTAGCTGTGGCTTCTGTTTCAGAATGTTCACAGATGTAAAGTAGTACCCCACAGTATTTGTATCTCAAGAAAGTTTCAGGAATTCTAGGTAAGGGGGTGCAGTCGAGTAAAGTGGCTATGGTTTAAAAAAGTGACGGTTTAAACACTGTAAACAATTGTATTTTAGAACAATTGTGCTACCCCTTCAGCAAAAT